GAGATTGACCTTGAGGAATTGTAGGGTCATCTTAGCCTTTGGCTAAGGTCATCAAATGCCTTTGGCTAAATCAGGATAATGATTTCACCAAAGGAAAAAACTGAGAGTCAACCCTAAAGGACTATAGTCAGGTAAAATACATAGAAAGGGCTGAAGTCCTGATCCATCAAGCAGTCACCCAGGCACCAGGAAAGGCACTGGGCCAATTATTTAATATCCTTTCATCTCACTTTGACATCTGCTGCCCTCCAGATCAAGGCAGCTGAGGTGACCTTCTGTCAACAGTTGAAATCGGGAGACGTGGCAGATTTGGCTGGAAGGGCAGATGTTACAGATAAATTAGCCAAGGTTTTGATGAGCTCCACATTCCAGAATTAAGCTATGATTTGTTCTTCTCCTAACTCACTGTCTTATAGTTTGCCATTTTGGGGTGTGTGTGTGTGTATGCATATGTGTGTGTATATATAAAAATGTGTATACACATAAGCACATACATTTAGGGGAAAAAATAAATCTTACTGATAATACACTAACCTTAAGATACAGAAAAATTCTAGACATTGTGTGTCTAGTTTTTGTTCTCTTGTTTTAGTATGTTACTCCTCTGAATTTCCCTGAGTTATGGGGGGTGAGGGAGTACATGGAGGAGGGGGAGAGAGACTGAACGAAACTTCACAGACATAAATTTCTTTTCATGTAGATAATGACATGCACATTTCTTTCCTACCATTTAAAAAGGCCGAGGAACAACTTTCAAAGTCATTTGTAGTATTGACTACAAATCTGCACCTGACAGATAAAATTCATATGGTAATTGGAACTAAATCTAACTGTAGTTTTCATATCCCTGTTTCATTTTTTCTTCCCTTAATGAACAAGACCTCAGAATTTCAGTGCATTGCATGGGGTTTGAGGTCGGGATTTTGGTGCCTGAACCCTACTAGCCCCTGCTTTGCAGTCCTGCCAAGGAGGTTGTAACCATAAGGAAGAATAGCCAATGGGAAAGCAAGTACCACTCATATAATAGCTAAAAGATGACCCTGACTGCAAGACTTCTCAGGTAAGCATGATGGAACAACGTAGGTTCCCTCATCCCCATCCATCATCCCCTGCCTTTAATAGAGAAAGCCTGGCTCAGGAAAGCCCCAAGTCCAATTGCTCACCTTGTTTGGAAGAGAGGATGACAGGCCTGCCTCCTAATAGGGCAAGAGTGACTGCACATGGTTTCTGACCTGTTAATGCGGCAACCCTGTTCATTTGTAAAAATACAGCCCAATGAGTATCTTGGGCTCACTTGAATCTGGTTAGCAACTCCTCTACCCTCTACCTGGCTGACTAGAAAGCAGGCAGGTGGGAGGGAGTAGAACTTCCTAAATACTATGCACTGAGCCCACCTTACCATTCTAGAGCCTTCAGTGCCCACAGTGTGTAGGTCTGTTTTGGTTTTATATCAATTTCTATGCTATACTGTTAAACTGAAGAAAAATTTCAGTTGTCATTTAAGAGAACATTACAAGGTGCCAGGCATGTTAGGGAAGTATCTTGGAACTTCCAGATCCGCTCAGCTGCCAGCTGAATACCACTGAGTGACCTCATTCAATACCATGTACAACACAAGAATCACCCAGCCAAGCCCTGACCCACTGAATCATGAGCTATAATAAAACGGTGGTGGTTTTGAGTCACTGAGTTTTGGGGTAACTTGTTATGCAGTGATAACTGGAACGAACATCACTATCCATTCATCACCTAAACCTAAAATAATTTTGCCTTTCTCACAGTTGGTGTTCAGTATTTATTGATAACTCCTTCCATTTCAGAACCTCCCCTCACTGTTATCTAATTTCACATTTCATAGTTCATTTTCAGATGTTTCATTTTTTTGATAAAACACTGATCTGCTTATGCCATTTAATTACAGGTCATGCTGTTGGCTCTGCTTCTTGGAAGCTATTAGTAATTGAAAGCATTCCTTCTTCACTGTAAAACACTGGAAACATTTCTTCTTCACCTTTAAATTGTGTAACAATGAGAAGACCTGAATTTTTAATTAGTCAGATTCTTGGGGAACTGGTTAACTAGAAAGCATTTTTTGTTTCAACCCTTACTGAAAACTTGCAATGAAATGTAGTTATCCTGTGCAGTCGTCATTGCTAGTGAGATGGAACTGAACGAGTACCTGCACACATCCCAGAAATGCTATTAAACATTTTTGTCATGTTTTCTTTTAACTTGCTCTAAGAGTGGGATCCCATGAATTTATCCCAGTTACTCAAGGTCGTCTTTAACTTTTTCATACAGCCTCCCCCACCCCTTTCCTTTTCTTTAAAACCCTGCCATCTACCCTCTGGACAGCCAAGTATGGCCTCTCTCCTTGTTATGGGGACCCATGAGGCATTTTCTCAGGTCTTACTAATAGGAATAATTGTGTTTCTCTACAGCAGTTGGTTTGTTTTTTATCTTACGGCAGCACACCGAACACAGAACTGATTTTTGTGTTAGATGGCAGGAAGCTCGGAGCCTGCCTTTATCAGCTGCTACAGTTAGTTGCACAGAATCGTTTATTACCTTCACCCCGGCTTCATCTGATTTCTTCTATCCTCATTTTCCTTTCCCTAATTTCCTCACTTCAAAAACTAGCTGTGGTGTAGGCCTTTTTAATAAGCTGTCTTAAAAGCATTTTAGAACAAGACAGGATATTTTAGCAATCTTTCAAGATCATCTTAAGGTATTGTGAAGGCCCTACTTTCATCAGCACACTTTACAGTATCAGCGCTTGGTACGCTTTATAAGCCTTACAATAGTTCCAGTAAATAGACTGTTTAGTGTCATAAGCCAAAGTCACTAAAAACTGTTCCTCAACAGAATTGCCTTGCTCAAAAAACTAAGACAAATATATCCATTATTCAAATATCCAGATATCTGTAGAAAGCTAGGAGCACAGAGACTTCCTTCTGACCTTTACCTATAATTATACTTTGATACTCTACTCTTAACATAGTTTTGAAGATTTAAAATAAATTTGTCAAGATCACATTTGAGATGATGAAGCTATATATATTACCAGTTTTAATTCCTCACAATAAATGTTAATAGGGGTGACTTTGATTTTTAGTTGAATAATTTCACTAAGATAAGTATTTTACATTTGTTAAAAACGCTCTTTCTTCCAAGTTATTTAAGTGGCTTACAAAAATACATAAAATTAAAAATGAATCAGTGGAGATAAAAGAGAAAAGAGCATGGATGTTAAAATGTAACTAAATGTAAATACTCAAAACACATACTGCGAGGACCTCCAGGTGCGTTAGTGACACACGCTGTACTTAGCACTTAGGCTCAGTGCTTTCCCCATCACTGCCTTCCAGTCCAGAAAGCTCTAACGCTGTCTTGTGTGGGAAAGATTAGAGGTCACTAATCTCATTTTCCCTGTAAAATGCATTATCTAATATGGCAAATATTTGTCATAACCACAGTTTTGAAGTACCAAGTAATTTAATCTATTCTAGCATTCATGAGTCAGAAACCAACATGGAAATCTTATGGTAGGTAAGTTGACCCACACCTTGAGCCTGAGAAAAACTGGGTTAAGTTCTCAACTGTGCAGAGAAACGTCATACCAAATGACAACTTTCAGTTTTCCTATGGCATAGTAGCATAAGTTGAAGAAATGTTCTGCTAATGTCTCCTTCTGGAAGAATGTGTAAAGGTAAATTAACTTATTTCTTGTTTTGATATTTTTCTCATAGCAGATCTTTATTTTATACAGTAGAAGGTAAAACTTAATATTCTTGGAATCAGTTTTTCTATAAAAGAATTTATACAGAAACGTCCCAACTCCACTACAAATGTCATTGTCAGTTTTATTACTAGGTTGCTTGTGATCCCAAGCAGTAAATACAAAATACAAGATTTCACATGTACTGAAATCCCAAGGAAGCAGTATGCCGGGAAAATAGGGGCCCCATAAATGGCGTAAAGAAAGCAACAACTCACCAAGAAGCATTAATAGAAATGACCAGCACTCCTTGGGTGCTGTAAATAGCTTAGCCAGAATGCATACTTCTGCCATTGGAGACGAGAGAAGCTGGGCCACTTTACCTCCTGGCCAAGGTAAATTATACTGATTCAATCCTATTTCACTTGGAACACAACACTGAATCTCGGTAAAATGAATCTTTCCCCCCGTTTCAGTTGCTAAGGAAGGAAAACTGCTCTCCCGATTCTTTTACCTTTAACCCAAACTTTCTAGGTAGTCTTTTAAGTCCTTTTTATACCTTTCTTTAGTTCTTGGGTCATATGTGAACACACATTTGCTCTAAGAACACTTTTATCATTCCTTTGGTTTCAACTATGACTTTTATGCTGGCAACAAGCAAGATCTCTGTATCCCAACTTCACCAATTTTCTGGACCTGAATTTGCAGCTGACAAAAGAGCATTTCTGTCTACCATCTCCCCCACCCTACACACCCCTACATATTAATTACAATATTGTTTATATCTCTGATCATATTAGTTTTTTGAATGTTAGCAAACTTTGTACCTTCTAAATGTCTTTTAATTCAAATTTCTTTAAATAACCAAGCATTGAAAACTTTCCAAAAATGTTATCTTAAAATGGTTGAAGTTCTTTTCCTTTTACCCCTCAAAGGTCTGAGCATGGGCAGGTCTTTTGTAGACACATCTATTTTTTTTTGTTTTTACGTTATTTATTTATTTCCCCCAGAGCCCCAGTAGATAGTTGTATGTCATAGTTGCACATCCTTCTAGTTGCTGTACGTGGGACGCGGCCTCAGCATGGCCGGAGAAGCGGTGCATCGGCGCGCGCCCGGGATCTGAACCCTGGCCGCCAGCATCGGAGCGCGCGTGCTTAACCGCTAAGCCACGGGGCCAGCCCTGGACACATCTATTTTTATTCCAAGGGCAAGTGACTGATTCTCTCTCAAATCAACTTTTTCCAAACAGAAATCCCCTACATATAAATAGGGCCAGTCTATGTTAATTTATGTGATGGTGTTCGTTTTCAAAACATCTTTACTAAATAAATAAAGGGGAGATGTAAAATATTGTGGTTTGCTTGGTGAATCTTAATTGCGAAATTTCTTCTTCTTTCGAAACTTCTTTCCTGCTGCATTTGCTGCTTTTTCAGCCATGATCTCTGAGTACTTCCTTCGGTTATATCTAAAAAGAAAAACCAAACCTTTAAGTTCTAAAGTATGACACATCAGATATTAGAAGTTAATGTAACCTGGGGGGGACGGGGGGGGGGTGTGCTAAATCTCAATTTTTTTTTTTTTGCATTTTCTCTTTCCATCACCTTTATACTAAGTTCCACCATGTGTAAGGAGCCACACTAGGAGTTGGGGACCCAGCAGTGAACCAGACAGCCGTAGTCCCTGCCCTCAAAGAGCTTGCAGTCTAGTGAGAAAAACATGGCAACTGGAGAGGGAGGGCTTTTGAAAACTTTGAGCCATTGGAGACCCATGCACTCCTTCCAGCTACTAGATGACAAAAATGTCCCATTTTTGTGGGACAAAAATGTCCCATTTTTGTGGGATAAAAATGTAAAAATAAGCACTAAGGAAAACAAAGTTTACACCTACCTAAAAACACACAATCTACTTCTTAGAACCTTAAGAAATGTGTCACAGACCAATGGTTTTCAAAGTGTGGTCCAAGAATAAGAGCCTTTCAAGGGGTCAATAGGTAGAAACTATTTTCACAAGAATACTAAGGCATTAGTTGCCTTTTTCACTCTCATTCTCTCATGAGTGTACATGGAGTTTTCCAGAGGCTACACAATGTGTGGAATCACAGCAGACTGATACAGAAGCAGATATGAGGCTCCAACTGTCTTTAAGCCGGACATTAAAGAGATTTGCACTAAATTATTTTTGTTTTATTCATGAAGATACTTAATGCGTATTGGATTTGTTATTTTAAAGTGAATATTTTTAAAGTTTCTTGATTTTAATTTCCATTATAGTAAATATTGATAAATGTAACCCATAAAACAAAAGTTCTTTGGGTCTCCAATAATTTTTAAGAGTTTAAAGGCATCTTCAGATCAGAAAATTGCTGCTATAGACTATATTTCCCCACTGGGCTTTGGAAACACAGAAGCACTATTCATTACAGAAAAATAATGATGTAGTAGCTAGAAGCTTCAACAAAAGAAGGGCTGTCAGTACACAGTTAATTAGGAAAAGTTAAAAATTCTCTAAACATATAAAATTCCTTTGTTCTAAAGCACTTTCACTGTGTTATATAAATCTGTTTTCACATTATTAAAGCTGAGGATTAGCTCATATTCTCTTTAAAACAGGAGCTATTTAAGCCTTTTACAACTTTACAGCTCACTCAAGTCCACAAGAAGTCAGCAGCACAACTTTGGGGTTTTGTTTTGTTTTTTATAGACTTTTGTTAACAAACGTAAGGTTAGAGTAAAAAGGAAGAAAACCAAAAACCACATACAACATAGAAAAGCACGTTTTCTCCTATATATCACACACATTTCTTTTGTCCCAGGACATTCCTACTAATGAATATATGATGTATTAAATATGTTCAGTGAAGTTCTCTATCCCAAAGTGTTCAGAGGCCAGAAAACCTCGAGTAGAATGTTGTAGAGGGGATTAAACATTCCATGGAGAGATGGGCTAGTAGAGTGTTTCACACAGTGTGGTATGTAAATTTAGGTGATACACAGACAATTCTCATTTTAAAGGATATATTTATCTTAATGTGTATTAGAAAAAATATAAGCCAACAAACCCATTCACAGCAGCAATATAAAGTTTCCTTTTAAAATAAAGTAGGCAGTATACAGAAAATGCAAACATCGTGAAAATATGATTCCATGAGTGAAGTATGGGAAACGATGAACTGATATGGTGACCTCTAACCCGCAATTTATGAGTTGCATTCTACTAAATGTCTAGTTTACTGCTCCAACTTCCTTATTCTAAGATTATTTTTTAGTGAAAGCACTATCAACATTGCTGTGATTTCTGACATTGCCATCATCAAGACTACAAAATGTAGGTCAATTTTTATCCGCAACATATGGTTAACACTTAGGTAAGCAAAGACTCAATCAGCTTGCACCACATCTCTGTAGGGATGGAGAAAGAGAGAGGCTTTAGAGATAGGAAAATGGGAGGGACTTGGACAGTCTGCATATGGGATTAAAAGGAGAAGGAAGGATGGATGGTGGTGCCGTTCAGTCATGAGATACAGAGCACTGGGAAAGGATCAAATTGTACAGGGAGGGTGGGGTCAGGAAAGACCACAAGTTAGCTCCCAGAGGTGCTTGTGAGATACCTAGTGGATGTTCCTGAGGTAGCAGTTGGAAATGTCGGTAGGGACTCAGGAGAGATCTAGACTAGACATATACATTCGGAAGTCAACAGTATACAGACTATAATTAAAGCTCTGTGGGGGTGAGATTTCCAAGGGGAGAGGAGTTAAGTGAGAAAAGAGCATTGTTCCTTTCTAAAATTTTTACCATTACCCAGACTCATTAAATAGCTTACATAACACTTGAGTTAAATTTATTTTCCATGCCTACAATCTACATTATTTGTAAAACTTTTTTTTTTGGTGAGGAAGATTAGCCCTGAGCTAACATCCGTTGCCAATCCTCCTCCTTTTGCTGAGGAAGATTGGCCCGGGGCTAACATCCGTGCCCATCTTCCTCTACTTTATATGTGGGGTGCCTGCCATGGCATGGCTTGATAAGTGGTGTGTAGGTCTGCACCTGGATCTGAACCTGCAAACACTGGGCCACTAAAGCAGAGCGCGCAAACTTAACCACTACACCACTGGGCTGGCCCTAAAACTCTTGATAAATATTTTCACTTTTGCTATTAAACCAATCTGGAAGTTCACCAGAGGTTTCTATATGAGGTATGCTTTTAAATTTCCTATAATATATACACAGCTGCTTTAAAGACATTTAAACATACTCAAATTGCTCCCATCTTAAAAAACCTCGAACTCCACATCCATTCGCCCTGCGTCTCTCTCCCTATTCACAGCCAAACTTCTTCAGAGTTGTCTCCATTTCTTCATTTTCAACTCACTTTCTGGTCCTCTCCAGTCTGGTTTCCTCCCCATCACTCCCCTAAAACTCCTTCTGCCAAGGTTACTGTGACCTCCATGTAACTAAATCCAAAGGAAGGTTTTAGTTCTTATCTCATTTGATCTCTCAGCAGCATTTATTCCTGTTAACCACTCCCTCCAGCTTATACCTGCTTATAACATTCTCTTTCTTTGACTTCTATGATCCTGTGCCCTCCTGGTTTTCTTAATGCCCCCTTGGCTATTCTTTCCCAGTCTCCTTTGCAGGCTCATTCTCCTCTAGCCAGTCACATACTTTCAAACTTCCCTCTGAAGCAGTGGTTCTAAACTGGGAATGCTTATGCCTGCAGGGGACATTTGGAAATGTCTGGAGACATTTTTGATTGTCATGAGTTGGGGGGCAGGGACGACTGGCATATAGTGGGGTAGAGGCCAGGGATGCTGTTAAACATCTTACAAGGTACAAGATAGTCCCCCCTAATAAAGAAGTATCCTGTCCAAAATGTAAATAGTGCTGTGGTTGAGAAACTCTGTGCTCAAGCATTTAAAAATAATCTGAAATTTTAAAAGTTTATGCATATTCTAAAGGAAAACATACATATTATAAAGTGAAACATAAATTCCTTTACCTTCTGAACTCAGAATCAGCCAGCAGCTCTTCCACAATAGTTCTCTTCCTTTGTTTCTTGGGAATTCGTGAATGGTAGAAGTCAGCTGGATTGTCAACAATGGTTCCAATCTATGAACAATTGATTGAAATAAGTCATGCAATACCTGAATGCCAAGTTGCCTTCATATTTCAGGATAGCTCTAACAAAGTATATTTATAGAAAGGAATGGAACACACAAGCTTACATTATACCAATATTAAAGTTAGTTTTTCCATCTTTTAAAGCAAAACTAAATCACCCATTCAACTGGCACTGGATCCTACTAATGACATTTCTTCATTGAGTTTATAGTAAATCCAAAATTCTTTTTATATAATTTAGTGCTAGACAGTAAATTCTTGATTACTAGTGTAACTAGAGGAGAAAAATGGAAGATAATACAAACTCTTTTGTTTTAGTTTTCCAATTTAATGAAATTGACACATAAATTCTACTACCTACCTATTTGATCTCCTAGGTTAGGTTATCATAAATGCTGCCAGCTTAGAGCCTACTTAGTGATCACTCTGCATTTGTTCATACATTCAACCAAGTAAAATTTAGTGTCTTCTATGTGCCAGGCACTGTGCTAGGTGTTAGGGAAACAAAGAACATCTGGTCCTTGTCAACAAGGAGCCCATAGTCTTAACGAGACCTGCAGAGAGGTAACTGAAAAACTAAAGCATAACATAATATTACGCTGAACAAAACATTATCGATGCTCTGAAAACTAAGTGACCAATTCTACCTAAGGGAGGTAAAGATTTCACAAATGATGACATTTTAGCTTGGATTTGGATAGGTAAAATTTCACCAAGCAAGCATGGCAGAGGCAAGCACATGCAAAATCAGAATGCCAAGACCAGTCGGTGCATATTCTGAGAATAGCTAAACGTGTAAGCTGAAGAGGACTATGTGACAAAAGAAGGGGTGGGGAACTGGTTTGGGTGCAGACTGTGAAGGGCCACATTAAGGGGTACACACTCTATCCTACAGATCATAAAGAATCATTGAAGAGCCAGCCCTGATGCCTAGTGGTTCAAGTTCAGTGCTCACGGCTTTGGCGGCCTGGGTTCACTTCCCAGTCGCAGAACCACACCACCTATCTGTCAGTTGCCATGCTGTGGCAGTGGCTCACATAGAAGAGCCAGAACAACTTACAACTAGCATATACAACCATGTAATGGGGCTTTGGGGAGGAAAAAAAAAAAATCACTGAAGGTATCATTGAATGATATCTGTAATATCACTGAGCAGTGGTGTATCATGAACAGACGGGTTGTTTTTAGAAGAGATGACTGGCTACAATATGAAGGATGAACTAGAAGGGAGAGCAGACCTGGAGGCAAAGGACTATTATGGTAATCCACATGAGTGACAAGAAAGGTAGTCAAGAAGAACAAAATGAACTTGAGAGCTACCAGAGGATGAAATCAACTGGACTTTCATCTGAAAACACTTTGAAAACCAACTTTTAACCTATTTTCAGAATTTGTCTGGGGATGTCCCTCTACGTGGAAAAGAAGAGTTTGGTGCAAATGATTCCCTCTTTCCTCCTCCATCTTTAAGGATTCTTGCTCTTAGGCTAGTACTATTCATATATGGTACACTGTCTTATAGGTTCCACAACTTTTAGCGAGTTGACCTGGAAACGCAGTTACCATTTGCAACAATGACTCTCTATATGGAAAGCCATTACAGTCACATGTCACTTAACCACAGGGATACATTCTGAGAAATGCATCATTAGGCAATTTTGTTGCTGTGTGAACATCATAGAGTGTACTCACAAAAACCCAGATGGTGTAGCCTACTACACACCTAGGCTATACGGTACCAATTTATGGGACCACTGTCATATATTCGGTCTGTCACTGACCAAAATGTTGTTATGCGGCACACGACTGTACAAGCTGGTGGCTGTCTGATTTGGGTTCTGGCCAGTATTACATGGCCTAAGCAGATGTGTATGGTAAATATTCATCTATTTTAAGAGTAAACATATCACTATAGTGCTTTCCAAACTAAAATCCATCAACATCACCACCATTATTCTGTTTCCTTCATACCTGGAAGTACTTGGGGAAGCCATCCCTATCATTTTTCTTGTAAAACCTTTTTGGGTCCATGCTAGCTCTCATCTTCAGTACTTTGAGATCATTTTTTAGTTCATCTGTCAATTCTGGAGCTTTCATACCAAACCAGCCATCACCTGCTGTTTTTTGTCGTTCTTTCTGAAATTCAGATTTCAAAAACAAAGAGAAAATTCTGATTTAAATTAAACAAGCAGTGTATAAATTATACCTCATTTCCCCAAAAATTATACACACAGAAAATTTCATGAATTAAAAACAAATAAGATTACTTTACAGAATGTACTAGTCTCCAGATTCATCTTTCATAAAAGGACTTCAATCACAAAAGTGATTTCTCTTTTGAGAATTAGGCACAGCATTACCAGTTTCATAAATGAGGGCTCCTTAAAATTTATTTTGTATCTTAGTAAGAACTGCTGACTTGCAGGGTGAATAATCCACAGCTTCAATTTTTATTGTTTAAAGTAGCCTACACAAGAGACAATGTATAAAAACATTTTCACTTCTGGAGATTTTATGTAAATATTAACACTTATTCAGTCACTCAGGTGTCTCAGAAAGTCACTTACTCCAACAGTCCAGAAATTTGTATTATTTCTAAAATAAACCAAAACTTTCTGTTCTTTTGAAAACTCTTAGCAAGTTATTTGCTTAATTTTATTTTTTATTTCATTCATACAACAAATATTATGGAGTGCCTACCACGTGCCAGAGTGCTCCATATTAGTGACAAGGTATTACTGGAGTACCATCCTCAAATTCCTCCAAGCTCTCTTGATAACTTTTTTGTGCTTATTAATTGAAATGGCAGATGGAAGCAATCTTCAATATTTTACTAAACAAAATAGTTTCTGTCCTCTCATTTGGCAGACTGAACAGACCGGGGTTTTTAGTTGGCTACATCAAGTCTTCTACAACAGCCTGCAACCGAGTTCCTCGCCTTTAGTGAACAGTACCTATAAACCAACAGATGTGGACAGTGACCCTATATGCTGGCTGTCATAGCTTTTAAGAAAGGGAAAAATAGAAGCTGTGTCTACGTGCACCACTTGGTACACTTTTCACTTTGTGAAAATCCATATAAAATATGTCTATGGAACCATATCGTATGGGCCCTTAGATATCTGTGATAATTTTCTTTGGAAATACAGATATTTTAATTGTACAACCCTGTTGTATAAGCTGAACATATATAGTCTAACACATCTAAACATTCTAAATAAGAGTCACTGTACTTACCCTGCGTTTTTTCTGAAGTTGATACTTTGATTCACGATATGGTGGGACACAGTAGTTTTTTTCAAAATCAGGTGTAATGACGGCTTTTTGCAGAAGCTATAAAAATAAGAAATTGGTTTTAAAATAATGTCAGAATGTCATATAATTTTTTCAACATTTTTGCCTTATATGGGAAACATTTCTCACACTGAAGACTACTCCAAATATATTAACCTTTTTTAATACACAGACATACTATTGCAAACTTGTTCCTGTCCTTAAATTTGTAAATTATATTACAATAAAAATGTTGTAGGAGAAAACTAAAGGATTATTTTAGGAAATCTATAAAATCAATATTCACCTCAAATTTCTTTTCCTAATCTGAATTTGCACCCATCAGATTTAATGTGTCCACTTGTATTTACTAGTTTGCACCCAGCCACCTGCACCAAACAACTGGAAAATAAAGACATTAGAAACAATGCCACAAGGCTCTTGAAATCCCTGAATAAAACCTGAGTCTTTAATAAGTTCTTTTGATGTTGGTAAAACAGCTTCCTGTGATCTGAGGAGACTAGCTAGACTGTTAATAGAATAAGAAGAGCAATACAGACTTCGATTAAACAACATATACTTCCTATGTTATACTAATGAGATCATCCTATCTAGACAAAATCTGCTTTTTTGCAACTCAACAATATATCTTAGATACTCTTTCAATGTCAGTTCATACGTAGATCGACTTCATTCTTTTTAATAGCTGTTATGCACCATAGTTTTTCTTCTGACATTTAGTTTAACAGTCTCCATTAAACTTTTTTCCTAAACATTGTAAACATCATCTCTGCACACTTGCAACTATTTCTGTAAAAAAGATTCCAAAATGTGGCCTTTAAATTTTGACAGGTACTGCTAAATTGCCTGGCATTGAACTACTATCAACTTCTACCAAGTTACTCGTGCCGTTTTTTTCACAGTGCTACCAACACTGGGTAGTATCTTTTTGTATGTTGTCACTGGTGCCTCATGGCAGTTTTCGTTTGCTGTTGATCATCTTTTTGTGTATTTATTAGCTGTGTCCTCTACTGTGGAATGCCTGTACTTTTTGGAGTTCTTTTTCATTTTTATATAGGGCTGTGTTCCTATTAATTTGTAGAAATGTATTGTTATCTTAGTGATATTAATCTATGGTCTTTTACTTGTCTTTAAGGTGTTTTTTTTTTTAATTTAAAAGAAATTTTTTTTTTTGTGAGGAAGACCAGCCCTGAGCTAACATCCGATGCCACTCCTCCTCTTTTTTGCTGAGGAAGATCAGCCCTGGTCTAACATCCATGCCCATCTTCCTCTACTTTATATGGGATGCCGTCACAGCATGGCTTTACAAGCAGTGCGTCAGTGTACACCCAGGATCAGAACCTGTGAACCCTGGGCCACCGAAAGGGAGCGCACGCACTTAACCGCTGCACCACCAGGCTGGCCCCTGTTAAGGAGTTTTTAATTGCATAAGTTTTAAAATTTTGTGTAGTGAAATCTGTTAATCTCTTCCTAAACAACTTCTGCATTTTTTTTTACTTGCCTAGGATGATTAAACATTGTCATAATACTGTTTATGTGCCTAAAAGGAGCTTCAGGGTAATTAGTCATTTCCCCCAGTTCAAGAACTAAAGAAGATGGCTCCTTAGCCCTCAAAATAGTTCATAGGAATATAGCAAATATTAATTTTGTCAGTAACATTTGAAATTATCATTTCAGAAATCAACTATCAATTCAGAAACCCCCAATTCAGTTTCAGGCCCAGAAGTTTCTTGGTAGTATAATAGCAGTCTAGACTTTCTTACCACTCAGAAATGAGCATAGCATTTATTTAACATATTATTAAGAGCTTGCTATGTGTCAAGTACTATACTAAGATCCAGGACAGTAGTTCTCAACTGGGAGCAATTGGTAACGTCTAAAGACATTTTTGGTGTGTGTATGGCGGGGAGGGTGAATGCTACAGGCATCCAGTGGGTAGAGGCCAGGGATGCTCAACCTCCTACAATGCACAGAATATCCTCCCACAACAAATTATCCAGCACAAAACACCAGTATTGCTGAAGTTGAGAAATCCTGTTTTAGGAATACAAAGATAAAAGACAGTAAGTTAACAATTACACTACATGATCAATAATAAACCAGATCTATTTTGGGTGTTGCAAAAGCACAGAGGAGGTAGGGGGAAGGATTTGGGTCCAAGAATGCTTTCCAAAGGCAGTGATCCATGATCTGCATTGGCCCGGGAAAGAACAGGTACGCTGAGGGACCACAGTAGTCTTCGATGGCAAGAAGACAGCAGGTGGACGTCAGAGCTGGAGGTACAGAGGCACCTTGAAGGCTCTGAGGAACCATGAAGGCCTTAAACAGGGGAATATCATAGCCAGATTTGTGTTTTCAGAAAGAGAACTCTAGCAAGAGTATGGAGAATGGCTTGAAGAACAGAGTAAGGAGGCTATACTGCAGTACTCTAGGTGAAAACTAAAGGCTAGCACTAGCCAGTGACAGCGGGGCAAAAAGGAGGGAACAGAACAGAAAGTACAGTACGGTAAGTACTGTTCCCTAGGCTTAGTAACTGACTGCAAAAGGGAAAGAGATTTTGGCATCATTAACCAGGATAGAGAATACAAAAGGAGGGCAATTAGCAATTAGCCAGGTCAAGTGCCTGAGGACATCTGAATGAACAGACAACCTAAAGAGGCAGCAAGGCTAGAAAAGACAGATTTAAGAGGAAGCCAAGCAAGGTGGCAGCTGAAGCTGAGGGTTTGGATGAGGTTACCTACTTTCTAATTTCCTTCTGAAATTAAATGTACAATTTCATGTCTATGTTTGCATGTGCACTTTTTCCTGGTGGAGAAGGTGGGCACTCACAGCTTTCAGATTTTCAACAGGGTTCAGAACAATTAATAACTAAAAGTATAGCAAGAAAAAGAGAAGAAAACACAACCCCTGGGATTGTAACTGGTGGGTGCAAGAAGAGGAACATTAATCCTGTATTACTTTATTTTTCAAGTGTCATCTTTTATACCTGGGATTTTATAAAAAGAAATGATTGTTCTAGAAAGAGGGGAAAAAAAGGAGTACAGTAGGCTAATGTGGTTTCACTGTAGGAAAATTAGTCTCTTACCAAGGACTAATCATTTCTAGAAGTGACTGATTAGTTCTATGAAAACCAACAGGACGCTTCACATAACTTACCTCATTTTTCTTTTTCTCCTTGATCTGTGTTAGGGTTCTCTTGTTCGACTGTAGTTTGTCTGCACTGAAATTAATATACAAACCACCCAATTGCTTGATACTCAAACCAGGGTCTATGCTGCTGCTTGTCAACTTCAGACTGAAAGAGAAATGATCACTTCAAGATCAAGTAACTAAATCAAAATGGAAACAAATGAAGACGGTATTTTTAAAACCACTTTTTTCTTTCTCTTCCCTTTTACTGTCAAGGACCAAAAAAACCTTACTTTTACAGTAGAGTTTCTGAAAAACTGTGAACAAATGTATATTTTAAATCTAGTAAAGTCATTTAGAAGAAAATTCTACGATGAATAATGAATTAAACAAAAAAGCTTTTTGGGAGCACATCCAAATTTATTCCCTAGATTTTCTTAAAGAGGATTAAGGCCATACAACATGCCAATAGATTTCATAAAGAAAAGAATTACAGAAAAGAGATCATCTGGCAATGTATCAACTTCATATATAGGTAGTGAGTTAATACATGCACATACCTCCATCTCTAAAACCAGTAAGACAAATTCTTCTATTTGGAACTTTCAAGTTATCCAAACTTAGAATGTTTTTTCTGGGTAACTAAGGGCATTTGGTAGTGCCTCTAAATCAGTGAGTTTTAAACAATGATGAGCATCCATATTTCCCATTGGAGCTTTTTAAAAATATAAATGTCACACCCCAGACCTAGCAAATCAGAATCTTCTGCAGTTGGCCTGGGTTCCTGCTTTATTTATGTAATGAGAATTTCTACTTTACATCACTGAAGGGTCCTTTTTATAAGCAAGTACACTTTCTTCCCTGATTATTCACATAAACTGAGCAGTTGAAAGCTTTGATAATCAACCTCTATTGGAAAGTGAAATCATTCTATTGCAATGCCTTGTCAGGAATTCTCAACCCTGAATGTATATTAGAATTTTCCGGTAGAGGAGAGTGACTTTTAAAAAATACGTATGCCTAAGTCTAGCCTAGAGATTGATTTTCATTTGTTTAGAGAGAAAACTGGGATCTGTTAATGTACAGTTCCTTACATGGATGCCAGTATCTCCAGTGGATACATTGCCTCCAGGGGCCTGTGCCTAGCGACAACAAATTTAAAACAGAAAAAAATGAAACTAAAGACATAGCCCCAAACATTAGCACTTTTCAATGAGAGAGAGATGGGATTATAGGCGATTATTTTTCTCACGCTATTCTAAATTTTTCAATTTCTCTACAATCAACATATAGAAAAAAACAAGTTACTTTCCTTCCGTTTTATGTTGCTCTTAACCATCATGCAGGAAAATCTTAACAGAGGATTTCTAACATATCATCAAAAGGAGCATTTTTAGCTCTCATTGGTGGAAAAAATATGACTAACAAAGGCACCCACAGAGACAAGGAAAATGCTGGATAAAAGAGCTTTTCCATAAAGAACTCGAGGCAGTAATTTTCTCAATTCCCATGCTTTCTAACAGTTAATATTTTTATGGTAAACTAGCCACTTATGTACCAAAAATACTTTTAAAAATAAAGGTAAAACTTACAGTTTAGACTTTGTGCCGTTTAGTAAGTCATCTTCATCACTAAATTCACTATCTTTATTTTTGTCACTGTCTGATGGTTCTTCTTCACTTTTTTCATCCTCTTCCTCCTCTTCTTTTTCTTCTTCAATGGCAACCTCACTTGTCTTGTCTTCCTCATCCAAGTAAAAATTTTTATCAGCACTCAATCCAGGAGTTGTGTCGATCACAAACAGCGCATTGTCACACAACATATTTTCCAAGTCTTCATTTAATGACTCTTTTTGACCACTATTTTCAACAAAACACACAGTGTCCTCTTCATTCTCACTGTTTTTGGACTGCTGGCTTTCATCACTGCTGAGAACTAATAAAACAGAATCACCTTTATCCTGAGATGTGTTGAACTCAGACCTGTATAGTTTGGTGTCACACTCAAAATCTGTATCCCTTTCTTTGTTCACGTCTTCACCCTCAAAATCTACATCCCTTTCTTCGTTCGTATCTTGACAGACACCTATAACAGTGCACTCTTCTTCATCACTGCCACTACCATCACCAAATTCTGTCAAGTCCCTTGTTTTTATGGTGCTCTGTCTCTTTTCATTCCATCTGTCCACTTCCACAACTGCAAATGTTTGAGCTAAGGATTTCATTATAGCCTCACAGTTCAGATTTGAGGGCTCTGATGTAGTTTTCTTATTTTGGGGGGTTGAATGCCTTTGAGAAAGTAAGTGCTGAATGCTAGTGTCCTTAAGTTCAGAGAGACTCTTAAACTGAGAATTTTTTTCATTAATTTCTTTTCCCTCATTTATCATTCCTTTGGCTTCCTCATCTAAACTCCTACAATTCTGCTTTATTATTTCTTTGAGAGGTGCAACATTGGCCTGTTTTTCCTCTGTTATATTAAAACATCGGCGTTTTTGCACCGTTAATTTTTTTTCTGAATTTCCGTGGAAAGAATCATCATCAAAGTCATTATACATTTCATTATTACAGAAATTTGGCCTATTTATCTGAGAAAGAGATCTTGCCAGTAAACGAGAAGTTTGTCTGGGATCTGAATCTTCTGAATTCATAGGTGTATCTATGATTTGTTTTTCATTTCCTGGTACAATCTTAGTATCTTTCTCCTCAGTTTGTGCCTGTAATTTCCTCTGCATACTTCTGGTTGTTCTCCTAGTTGAAATTCCAGAAAATGAAGACATGTCTGAGCATGATGACTCAGCATCAGAAATAGCTTCCATATGTGATTCTTGGCTTGGATCTGTTAGGGATTTAACCTTACTTCTCCTGGTTCTTGTAGTTATTACTGCGGGAAGCACAATTCTAGAAATACCTGAAACATGCGATTCTGCTTCAGAGACTTCTTCAGTAGGAGACTCATTTATTGGAGTTATTTTCAGCCTTTTCCTGGCACTGGACACTGGTGTGCATGCAATTAAGATCTGCCGCCTTCTAGTTATTCTTAAAATGGGACTCTGGCGTTCAGACACAGAAGAACAAGTTGACTCTGCTTCAGAGGTCTCTCCGTCAGTAGATGGTTTGTCTATTTGCTCACATAATAAGCCTGTAGTTCTGCTCTTCCTCCTTCCGGTTTTAGGAGTTCTAGAGACTGGACGTCGTTTCCTAGTGCTCTGTGATTCAGCAGTACTTGGGTCATCGGATGGAGATTCCTTCCTGCCTTTTGGATGTGCTTCAATTCTTTTAGCAGCAGAATTCTGTAAGCCACAGAAAACGCACTGTAATTTAGGTCAGGCTGGGACAAGAGCAGAGTGAGTGAGGCAGTCCCCTCAGGAGCAAATTTTAAGAGGGCACTAAAGAACTCTGTAGTAAACAACATGAATACAAAAACCACCACCGCTCATGATTTAAAAAAATCAAAAACTTAAATACTGGATCTCACGCTACATTTGCAGCCCTAACTCGCCTCACCCAAGTCCTGGATCTGACTTTAGGGAGGAAAACGAATAACTGAAAAGAAATAATGTTCTCCACTCAAAGTCAAATATGTGTTTAGGAACACACACACCAACGGAATCGGTTGCTGCCCTAACCTTTACATACGTAAGAGAATGAACGCTCCGCTCCGCTCCCTTCATCGCCGAATCAGAAAAGAGGCAGCGGACGACTAGCGCCCCTGATAGCCACCAGGCGGCGTCACTGCAGCCCTCCGCACGCCAAAAGGAGGTGCTGTAGGGCCACGGCCAGCCTTCCCACGTGAAAACGGTGCCCTTTTCTCCAATCCTGCTAAATTAGGCTCACGCTTGGCGGCTGAAATTATTCCTCCTTATTACGGTGTTAAAAGTAAGGTTAAAAGACGTGAGCTACACATCTGCATTACGGAGTTGAACTACCCACAGCAAAACCTCTCTGTTTCATGCTAAAGACTGCCTTACAAGACCGTCGTGACGCCTGAGGAGGAAGCCAACGCCTTCGCGCGGGGCCTGGTACACAGCAGCGCGCGGCAAGCTCGGGCCCTTTCCGCCGCTCCTCCCCACATTCCACGGGACCCTTGCGCCGCCCCACCTCCCTGAGCGCCGCCCTGCGAAGCAGCGAGCAGAAATGAGGGAGCCTTGCGATCTCCTACCTTCTGCCGGGAGCTTTCAGGCGATGTGGCTTGGCCCCTGGCCTGAGGCCGCGCGGATCGGGTGACCACCATTTTTCCAGCTCCCGACTCCCCGGCGGCCACCGCGGCCCGCCTCTCTTCCGGCGCGCCGGAAGTGCGTCAGAGAAGTGCCTGGCTCGTTTTTTTCGCGTGAATCCCGGAACTCGCCAGAATCTCGCACCTGCCTCCGCCCCACCGACGGAGGCGGGGCCCGTTAGACCTGGGGGATCTCAAAAGCCACAGTTTTAGCGGTCGCTCCAGTGCGTAGAAAACAGACCAGGCTTTTGCAGGGAGAGACCTTCGTGGAGGCTGCGAAACTCGCAGTGATAGAGGGCCCTCGTCCCCGTTTCACACGAACGAATTGGGAAAATCGCATCTTCTGCTTCACGCACCCTCTCATTTGTTCAGCAATTCTGAAGGTCTCAGTGTAGCCATGGGTGTGACCGAAGGAGACTTTTCGTTATTTATAATATATATATATATATTTTTACAATCATGTATTATTTGTGAAGTTAAATATGAATAAAATTTCAAGAGTTGGTTGCGGTAAAGATGTATACGTTAAATGCCCCAGGAACTCGGAGACAGTTGGGAACTATATAATCTAACGGTGAGATGGTGAGTAGGGATTGAGAATAAGCAGAAAAGAAATGTTAAGGAAATTGTAAAGAAGAGCGATAAAAAAAAAATTTGCAGTGAAAGGAAAAGAATGACCAGAATCAAGAGAAGCTTTTTGATTTTCTTTTGGGATGAAGAGTGGAGAGCTGGAATATGAGGGGAATGGAAGAGGATTGAAGAAGTAAGTAAACTGTATTATTGGAGGTGAGAAAGGATGAGTGCCTCACCAAATCTGTTCTCCCTTACTTCTTTATAACAGAAAAACAATTTTTTTCTTAAAAGTAACAAATTTTTTTCTTAAAGTAACAAAGCGTCGATTTTTTGGTGGGCACATTGCCACCCAGTTAAATAGCTCGTCTCATAGTTTTCCTTGGAGCCAGATGTGGCTGTTTTGGGCAATTACATGTAAATTAGTGTTGTGTGGTTCTTTAGGGACTTTTTGTGTGTGTGTGTGTGTGTGTGAGGAGATCAGCTAACATCTGCCAATCCTCTTTTTTTTTTTTTTTTTTTGCTGAGGAAGACTGACCCCAGGGTAACATCTGTGCCCATCTTCCTCCACTTCATATGGGACGCTGCCATAGCATGGCTCAGCAAGCAGTGCATCGGTGTGCCCCTAGGATCCAAACTGGCGAACCCCGGCCCGCCTCAGCAGAGTGCATGCCCTTAACCGCCTGCACCACCAGGCCAGCCCCTTTAGGGACATCTTTTAAGAGAGGAGTTCCTCCCTGCAGTCTTTTTTTTTTTTTTTTTTGTGAGGAAGATCAGCCCTGAGCTAACATCCATGCCCATCCTCCTCTTTTTGCTGAGGAAGACTGGCTCTGAGCTAACATCTATTGCCAATCTTCCTCCTTTTTTTCCCTTTTTCTCCCCAAAGCCCCAGTAGATAGTTGTATGTCATAGTTGCACATCCTTCTAGTTGCTGTATATGGGATGCGGCCTCAGCATGGCCAGAGAAGTGGTGCGTTGGTGCGTGCCTGGGATCCGAACCCTGGGCTGCCAGCAGCGGAATGCGTGCATTTAACTGCTAAGCCACGGGGCGGCCCCCTCCCTGCCGTCTTTAACTTCAGTTTACTCTTTGGAAAGTTGTGTCCCCTGGTTTTCAAGCAGCAATTTTGTGCCGTGAGGATGAGGGCCATGCTTTAGGGATGGCAGAGCAGTGAGAAAGAAAAAAACATGGGTCCTTGACAACTGTTGGAGCTGCCATATCAGTCCTAAACAGCCTACTTTTAGATCTGTTTCACCTGAGAGAAACGTCTGTTTTTTTTTTTAGGCCACTGTCATTTGGGGATTTTCTGTTATTTACAGCCAAGCCTAATCCCAACTGAAGAATGGAATAAAATACAGCGATGGAGAGGTTAGCTACACAGAAGAATGCTCCTTCCTGTGAGGGAGGGGAGAAGAGTGGATGAAGCAGAGAGAATGTGAATGCAGGGAAATTAAAGTGGAGACAAGAGATTTTGCATAGATAACCTCAGTCTTCTCTGTAAGTAGAAGGTGATTCATCTGCTCAGAGAATGAAAACAATTTAGATTGACTCGTGAGGAATGTGGTAAGGAGCAAAAAGAAGGAGTTTTAGTTGGGCCAAGTAGCAATGAGACTGTGTAAAATGAAGAACAGAAAAGAAAACAGGCCGGATTTGAAGAGGAGGCAGAATGGTGTAGAGGAAGGCAAGTGAACCAATTAGAGGAGGGTAGTAGAGATCAAAACAGCAGAGGACAACAGCATCAGTCATACTAATAGTATTGAGTACTTAACATATGTGGGGTACTAAGTGCTTTATACATGTATTAACTCATTCAGTCTCGACAACAACTTTAACATGAGCAAAAGCATGCAAGTAGAAATTAAGATCATAGGAGTGGGTATAGAAAATTGGAAGAGCATTAGAAAATCAGTGTGTGGCACCTTGAAAGTAAACAAAAACGCCCAAACATTTACAATTTTAAAAGGTCAAGAAACAAACCTAAAATACTAAAAATGTCAGTACATACTCATAATATGAGAAGACTGAGCTGGTCTACTATCAACAGGGCTGCTGGTTATAGGCAAAACTGCCAAGTGTTCTGTTTTTATTTTATGTGGGCTTACCAGTTCTGCCCTGTTTCTCTACTTTCTTTACCTAACCTCTTCTTTACCCAAAGTGGATTTTGGGCAAGTATAGTATACCCAATTTTAGCTAAATACAGTATAAAAATACAGTAATTTTTATTCAGGCCCAAAAGAAAACTCTCCCTTGATAGTCTATATTTACTAATGAAATCTTTAAACTGAAGGATTGAATCTCTCTCTGGAATTTTAGGCATTAACCAAAAGATGAGAGTTTTAGTGCATGAGCCTTCTAAAAATACATACCATTCACGGTCATTCTGCATTATTACATATAAAACATTACTTTTAAATTAAATCTGATCTGTAAGATGGTCCCCAAGGATCCCATCTCCTAGTCTTCAAACCTTTGAGTGTGGGCTGGACCTAGTGACTTACTTAAAACCAAAAGAATGTAACAAAAATGATAGATGTCACTTTCAAGAATAGGTTACAAAAAAGGCTGTCTTCTATCTTGCACTCTCTCACTTGTTCGTTCTGTGGGAAGCTGGCTAGCTGCATGTTATGAGCTGCCCTATGGAGAGGGCCACGTGGCAAGGAAGTGTGGGAGGGCCTATGGCCCGTAGCCAGCGAGGAACTGAGTCCAGCCAACCACCATATGAGTGAGCTTGGAAGCCGACCAACCTCAATCAAGCCCACAGGTGAGACTGTAGTCCCACCTGACACTTTGATTGCAACAATTTGAGAGACTGTGAGGTACCCAGATGCAGCAATAGATAATACAGTCACTATTGGCTAATTTTGTTCTAAAACTTCATGTAAAAAAATATATATAGTATGTACTCTGATGTCTAGCTTCTTTCACTCAGCATAATGTTTCTGAGATTCATCCATGTTACTCTGTATACCAGTAGTTCATTCTTTTTTATTGCTGAGTAGTATTCCATTGTATGATTATACTACAGTTCACCTATCCATTCAACTGCTGATAGACATTTGGGGCATTTCCAGTTTTCAGCTATTATGAGTAAAGTGCTATCAACATTCTTATATTGTCATTTTGGGACGTGTTTTTATTTTTCTTGAGTAGATACCTAGGAGTGGAATTGCTGGGTCATACAGTGAGTACATTTAATTTTGTAAGAAATGCCAACTTATTTTCCATGGTGGTTGTGCCATTTTACATTCCCACCAGCAATATATGAGAGTTCTGCTTCTTCCACATCCTCACCAATACTTGGTATTGTCCATCTTTTAAAATTTTAGCTATTTTAGTGATATTTCATTGTGGTTTTAATTTGCATTTCCCTGATGACTAATGATGTTGAACATCTTTTAATGTTCTTATTGACTATTCATATGTCGTCTTTGAAGAAAAGTCTATTCAATCTTTTGCCTATTTTTTATTGGGTTGTCTTATTATTAAGTTATAAGAGTTCTTTACATATTGGGGATACAAGACCTTTATCAGATATACGACTTGCAAATATTTTCTCCCATTCTATAGGTTGTCTTTTTACATTCTTGATGTCTTTTGGTGCAATCTTAAAAATTTGATCATGTCCAATTTATTTTTCCTCAGAAATATGTATTGCAAATATTGCCCCCCCCATCTGTGGCTCACATTTTCATAGTCCTAAGTCTTTTGAGGAACAGAAGATTTTAATTTTGATTAAATTCAGTTACCAACGTTTTCTTTTATGGTTAAGTTTTTTGTGTTATCAGAAAGCTTTGCAGCCCATTTTAATTTTTTTGCTTTGTTCTAATTGCATACACATCAAAAGGAACAGAAAATTTCAAATGAAAATTAAAAAGTGACCTGAGGGAAAGACAGATTATTTCTAGGGAAGTAAATCCAGATTTTCATCAGCAAGAGCATTTATGCTGGAATTCAATGGAATATTATCTTCAAAATGCTGAGGTAAAGTATTTGGAAACTTATATTCTATAATGTCAAATGATCATTTAAGATTGATAACAAAATAAAGTCATCTTCAGACAAACAGGACCTAGAAAGTTTATGCCCAAACAGCCTTTAGTGAAAGAATTACTAAGGACATACTTAAGCAAGAAAAATGTGAACTTAGATGGAGTAGGAAGCAAGAATCAACAGTGAGCAAAGAAACAGGGAAAACAGCTGAGTCAAAATAAGTAATGCTTATTGTAAAACATGAACCTTCTTAAATTGATGGACCAACAGACACACCAAAATCTTGTATGACATTTAATACATTTATTCATTGCTGAGGGATACATACTAAGGTTTTGTTTGACTTTTCTGGTAGTGAAACTACATACAGCCATATCCTGAAATATTTAAGGGATTTGGGCAAGTTTTAGTCTCTTATAAAATGTGACTTTTGCAACCTTACCTATTCTTGTCTCAGCAGAAGCCATTCCTTTCTATCTGGTAAGAACAAGCTCTTGAAGAAAGTGTTTTCACTGAATTTCTAAAGTTTACATATAAACTATTCATCATTCAACAAAAGCATATTTACAAACCAGTAAACAAGGGCCTCTGCCCAAAACGGCCACCCACACCTCATCCTCTGATCCAACTCTACGGCTCAGTTCTTCAGGGGACCCTTTCTTGTCCTTACCCTGTTCCCCAGCCCCACTTCCTTCCACATGCCTCCCAGTCGCTTTTCACCACTTCTGTCATCAACATGCAGCTTTTTATTGCTCTTGTCCACCTGCAGATCTCTCTCCCCCCAAGTGTACTATATGCTCCTTCAAGATAAGGTGGTTTTTTCATCTCTGTGTCTGTCTGCCAACACCCTGCAAGTGCCTGGCACACAGTGGACATTCAATAAACCTTTGTTAAATGAATGCACAAATAGCTTTATGGCTTGGATATTTTAAAATTATTCATAATTTATTTTCAAATCATACTCAGTTTGAGTTCAAATAGTTCAAAATCAATATAATGTTCCAGGATGCTTCCAACTATTGAAACAACTCAATTAAAAAATATACAACTCACACTTTATTTTAATTAAATTCATAATACAAGTAAAATTAAAAACTATTATAAATATTTAATAATGCTTTATATTTTGCCTTTATTTTATACTATAATACTACATACACATAAAAGTAGAATTATCTAATTAAATTATTTTCCCCTCCTAAATGTATTTCTAATTCTGAAAACCATAAAAAATGTTAATGAAAGTGATATTACATATTTTTCAAAAATAAAACTGACATATCCCGTCACCAACTTTACGTGAAAATGACACGTACAAGTTCTGGTACAATAGGAAGTTAACTTTGAAAAAAATAGACTTGGAGTCATAAGTTTGTATATTTGAGTATGAAAACACAAATGGTTTAAATTCTCATTAAAAGAACTTCAAATTTCTCTAAATGTACATTTGGCAGAAAGATAAATTGTTGGCTAATATGCAATAAATATATCAATTGCTTACATTCCCAAATATTGAAAATACTGAGTGGAAAAATTAGAGAGAAAATCTGTTCTAAAAAGATAAATGAGCCTTAGACCTTTTATCACTGAAAATCAAGATCCTATTTCAGTTACCACTTGGCTCTGGTAGGGAAAAGTCTGAACCATTCATTCAAAATAGAATAACTTTATTTCCCATTTCCCATTAGCTGTCTAAGTAATCTTTTTTGAGACAAGAAAAATTATTAGCTATTATTTGTGATTCAAGTTCTAACACTGGCCATCCTTAAATGGATACTCTATTAGCACACTGGCACAAGGTGGTCTTCAGAATTTACACCATGTGAACATATTTTAAAAGACACCTTGGTTCTTCTGGTGACTACAGTTTCTTGGATGGGAATTCAAGACAGACTCATCACAGAATGAATTCCAAGTTATAGTAAGTTGTGTTCAAGTAAGGCTCCAGTGTATTTTGGAAATGTAATAACAAGTTGCAGCTTCTTTTTATGTTTACTGGAAAAAAACACAATTATATAAATTCTTTCTACCTTGGGTCACTAGATACACATCTCTTCCATCTCTTCAGAAAACATATCTGTTATATACACTATTGATAACTAAGCTTTCGGCTTTAAACATTGCTTTAAGCAATTATTTGGTAGTATTACCCGCTCTTTATTTTATGGCTTTTTACACATTGTCCTTAAATATTTGAAAAGTATTCACTATATTCTGATGGTTCATGAAAAAAAAAGATGTGAACATCAGCTTGGAAACTTATAGTCTTAAAAACACTAGTTTTTCCAAGAAGGTTATTTAATAACAGAAATTAAAGGTACAGAAGTGGAAAAAACAAAAAACTCATCTAAAAATTCCATACATGATCCCCTTCACAAAATGAATCTATAATCCTGTTTCTTTGTCAAGAATGGGGGAAAAAAAGAACAGAAGAGCTCCTGCTGAAGTTTGGATACGTTAGCAACATAAGCTTTTTTTCCGTTTTCAAAATAACCCTTCAAACAATCTATTTTTGTAAGTCCAGGGTTTTAAAAAACAATAAATGTGATATTAAAGTTTCCTCTTAAAATATCTTGACCAATTCACTGTAGAGGCTTAAATTAAAATGAACTTTTGTTTAAAGACTTATGTTATATGAAAAAATGTGGTACATTTCCAAATTAAAAAGTTAACTGTATACATTTAATAACATTACATACAATTACTATAAAGGCTATATAAGGTTTTAGGAAGCTCCAAGTCTAAACACGTTTTAACACGTTAAGTCAGCTGATTTCAGGTTACAATTCTTATGATCAAATTATCCAACTAGTAAACCACAAAACCTTACTTAGGGTACGAAAAGAGTCTAGTGTATTTATTTTGAATATGGAACCACAGTTCTTTCCCCTAAGTTGAAAAAAATTGAGCAAAATTCGATTTATATATTCATTTATATATATAAAATTAGTTTTATAAACCATGTATTAAGATACATGGTTTAGAAGTATTGATTGAGTTACAAGATATTTTTAAAGAATTTATCAAACTATTTGGGTTACAGATAAAAATTTATAGAATTAAGGAGACCTATAATATATATCAAAGGTCACAGCTTATTTATTTGCTATTTTCTGGTTCGTAAACTAAAGAGGAATTATACTAAATGATCTATAATCTCTTCTAGTTCTAAAGTTTTGATTGTATTGTTTTGCTTTTAAATAGTTAAGACTGCATCTCAAATGAAGTTGTCTAAATAGACAACATTGGCCCTGAATTAAAGCTTTTTTTCACCCCTTTTCTGGCTTTTAGTCCCTATAGTCAGTTACTAGTGGGGAACAAATACCACATATTTTACTCAACTGATTTTTAATCCCTGTGCTTTGTCCTCTCTCCAGAGCCCACAGTGCCCAGCACATGGTAAGTGCTCAATGCTTATTGAATATTCTTCACTGAATAGCAAAATATTAAGGATAGATCAAGAATTAAAAAGCATCTGGAGGTGATAATAGTTGCTTTCATAAAAACCCCCAAACAATAATTGCAAAGCTTCTAGTCTCCTTTTCAGATTTACTTTGGTTTGTCTTTGTAAATAACAGCAAGAGAAAATATGGCACAAGAATAACAGATTAACTTGTTATAGGTAAACTACAAGCAAGGACACGTAAAAAAATTTAAGTTTCCATTCATGTATTGAAGAAATGAATTTTATTTACACTATTAGTAGATCCCAGCTACTCCAGTTACTCTGAGATATAATAATCATCAATGACAAGAAAAATATCTTCCAGTATTTCAGTTTTAACAATTGTAACTAAGTTGCTTAGTTATACTATAGAGTAAGAAGCAATTAATGAATTTTTTGGAAATAAAAAATATGTATATACATTACCCTGATGTCTAGGCCAAAATATATCTAACAACAAATTTTCTTGATTTCTATTATTCATAAAAATAAAGGAAAAATATATTGCAAGTATTTTCTTTATAGACAATTTCAATTAGAAAACAATAGTTTAATGAAAACAATACAGTGGTTCATGTAAGTGAACTGATATGGAGGCAAGAGAAGTATTCAAAACTTGACAGATAACATATTGTCAAATATAACTAAAGAATATCTGCCTCAGTGACACCACTTACAGGCAGTAATTAGATTTTTACGCATCTCAATTTTATCTTATATTTAAGGAAAATACAAGTCAGTAGGTTATGATCTTAAGTCACAGTTAAGAACCCCTTCTTTTAGCTTGTAAGATGTAGCCTTTTGATTTGATGATTCCTCTACTTTTAACAATGACCGAATATCGCAGTAGCCACAGTGGCACCCACTCATGTGCTTGAATGTCAGGGATGCTTTCCTGAAGAGCTTCTTGGAAACTTGCTTCAGAAAGCAGTTCTTAAAAAAACAACAACAAATAAAAACCCAAAGTGTTAAATGTGAAAACAAAAGCAGTTTACTTTGTAGGTAAGCATTTAAAGACAACAAAAGCAGCACCTCAAAACTGAATATAAAATATGCTTGTCCTTAATGTGTGCTATGAATCTGAACCAGAATATTAGAAAGACCAGGCAGTTCTTTAGAAAGCATCTACCTCCATACCCCAGCCCACTTAATTCATCACTTCTGGTGAGTGGAGCCTGGATATTTGTGTTTTTTGAAGATGCCCAGGTAATTCTAATGTATAGGCAAGGAAAATACAGGAAAGTACAAAGAAGAAAAAAAAAAAAAGTCACCCATAATCCTATCAACCGGAGACACCATTTCCATTGCCATGTTTTTCCTCTCAACTTTTCTTCTCTATCTTCTCTCTCCATGTCTTACAAAGCTAGAAATCACACTGTAGTCACAGCCTGATTTACTTATTTTTTCCATTTGTAATATGAATATTTTTCCATGTAATTAAATATTCTGTGAAAGCATCATTTTTAATAATTCTCCCAAACTACATTAGATATTGTAATTTATACATTTCTTTATTGTTGGCTAAAAATATGTAAGTTTTTCCTAATATTTTGCTAATAAAAATAATGCTGTGTTGAACATTTTTAAAATGCACTCCTGGCTATGGAAGGATAGGGTCAAAGTACAAGTTCTACATTTTTAAGGCTTGATACATAGTATACTGCCAGTTTTTTTCCAGAAAGGCTGTACTTTACACTTCCACCAGCAGGTGATAATGTTAGAGGGCCAATCTTATCACATCCTCACCAGCAATCAGTTAAAAAATCTTCGCCAATGGTTATCTTTTGATGTGCATTTCTCTGATGAAATCATTATTTTCTACTTCCACGTTTATGTCCAAGCCCTCTACTACCGCTCTGCTGTACCACTCCCTTCCTCACTTCCTCTTCTCCAGCCACACTGGTCTCCCAGTTGTATCCTGAAATCCACAAGCACTTTCACACCTTGGGGCCTCTGAATCAGCTTCTCCCTCCTTCCTGAACACTCTTCTTCCAGATAGCCACAGGGCTCTCTCCCTTCTTGCAGGTCTCTGATTAATGGCAACTTAGCAGAGAGGCCTCCCTGACCACCCTGTATAAAACAACAACCCCTAACCTGGGCACTCTTTTCTTCCTCAGAGAACTTTTCTCCATAGCATATACCACAACTTATCACATTTAACATTTATCTTATTGTCTGTCTCCTCCATTAGAATATAAATTCCATGGGGGTTGGGATTTGTCTGACTTGGTCCTTTATCTCCAGTGCTTAGAACAATGCCTGGCACACACTAGGTACTCAAATATCTGTTGAATCAATCAATCAATATGGAAAGATTCCACTGGGGTCAGAACCAACCCTACAGATAGGGATTAAATGGTCATCTATACTGTATGATTTGGGAGCACTAAAGGACCTGCCTGCCCCAAATGAACTGCTGTGATATTTGAACAGCATCAATAGTAAATTCTTAGTAAATGTTAGCTATCATCACGTGTCAGGCACTTTTCTGAGTACTTTACATGTATTAACTCACTTAATCCACAAGTTAACCTTATGAGATAGATACTATTTTGCCCCTTTACAGAGGGAAATTGAGGCAGAGAGGTCAGATAACTTGCCTGGGGTCACACAGCTAGTAAATGGTAGTTTTCATAAACAGAAAGCAAATGTCTCTTTGGAAAAGCAACGTTAATATGGATTTGTTTATCAGATTGTCTAACAGAGAAGAGGACCCTAAGGGGCAGAGGCATAATACAGCTTAGATTTAATGGGAGTGGGGGGAGGGGTAAAGTAAATAAAAAGAGGAAAGTTCTAAAGTCAGAATCACTTACTTCACAATTTCACCCTGACTGTAGTTAAACTGTTACCACAACTTCTAGGACAAAGAGTAATGGAAAATAAACCCTTTCTGAGGAATAGGGTAATTTTAAAATAGAAGACGACCTTTAGGGGACTTACAAACAAAATTATATTTTAGATAACAAGCAGAGTTAAATGTTTTACAACTTGACTGCTTAAAAAATAAAAAATCTGACACAAAATCTGAGAACTATGCTACTCATTAGCTTAACTACATATGTTAACTCTTTAGAATCAGTAAACTTGACAAATCTGTTAAGAGAATTGCTTCATTATAGATCAAAGTGTCTGAAGATTCATTAATGGTATATGCAGGATCAGCCTATAAATTCTAATCAAAGGGTTCAGAATTAAAATTGAAAATAAAACCAAGTGTCAAATTATATCAGTAACACAAAAACATAAAAAAAAGGATTAAATCTCTTTTCTTATAAAAATATACAATATATTTTGCCATAATAATGATGTATTAGCACATAAACCACATGCCAACATTTAGATAACATGGAAATAAAATACTAGACACCTTAGTCTTTTCCTATTTCCTCTCCTACTGGAAAAAAGATTGAGTTTTTTTCAAGTGGAACTAGAATGGGGTACAGGCTCATCCATCAGCTGTTGGTAACAAATGCTGTTGGTAATAATTACTGTTGGAAGAGCCCCTGCAAAGTAAGCAGATAAATAATTTATCTGCCAACACATGAAAGTTTAAATGATTTATATTTCAGAATAAATCAGCAGAGCAATTATTTGTTAGATTTTCACTAAAATGACTTTTTTTTTTTTTAAATGAATCTAATTACTTACTTGTGAAAGCTCTACTGGAAGGGGGAGGCAAAAGTCACTGTCTCCTATTCTGATATTATTTAAATGGAAACTGATAAGAAAGTAAGGTTTCAGGCTGAAATACTGTCATACTAACATTTCAAATGAGAGAGAGAGCATAGTATAGTGGGAAGAGGCTCCAAATTCAGCCAGGACCTAGGTCTAAGTTCAAACTTTGTCCTGTGCCAGCTGGGTGACCTTGGCTAGTTTCTTAAACTCTGGGGCTCTATGCTCTTCAATATAATGCCTAGTGTCAGCTGTTGTGAGGATTACAGATAATCTGAGGCATCTAGCATGATGCCTGGCATTTGAGGAACAATATTAAAACTCCTCCTCTTCCTAAAAAACAGTGAAAAAAGGAGAATGGGGCAGACTGCCAATAAACAGTCTAAAGTTTTAAGAGATTATCCAATAAGCATCCTAAAAATAAACAAGCTGAATCAAACCATCAATATCATGCCATCTTTTTAGACATGGAAGTAAAAGCTGAGTGTTTTTTCTCCAGGAATCATCTATAAAATATAATTTCCTCCAATATATATTAAACTAGAACCTCTATATAATGTCATGGGGATTTAGAACTTTCACAAGACATTTCTCTCATAACTATACCAAAAATACTGTTTCATAGAGCCTGTATATTTGCTAAGTAAAACTCCTCCTCTTCTCCCTACGAAACATTGAAAAAATGAGAATGGGGCAGACTGCTAATAAATAGTATAAAGTGTTAAAAATTCTCTTCCCATAGTTATCTTGTAAAATGTTGATAAAAAATTATTCTACAGAAGGCGGACAGGCCATTCTCATTAATCAAATGTTTCTGATTAACACCAAACATATATTTCTTGATAGTAATAATTAGTAAAATCCTAATTAATTACTTATCCTAAGATGCTTTTAAGTTTCAAATTAAATTTTATCTGCCTCTTCTTCCAAATATTTACCCTCTATAATTAAGTGGCTCTTTGGTGCAATCTTTGCTGTACTAGACAAGATTATATAAAATCCTATTTAGACTATCTTAAAAGATCTTTTCTGTGTAGCTTAATATTTATAAACTTCAACAGACTGAATGTTCAGGAAATGACTCTTCACTTTTTTTCCCTTGGCAAAAAGGCAAAACTAAAGCTCTCTGAAAATAAAATAAAAGCATATATGTTTAGAACTAACCATTAACAACAGTTCTGTGTTACAGCTTTGTACATTACTGTACACAATTAAAAACTAAATTTTAACAAGTAGCTTCTTGTAAGATAAAAGCTCATGATCAACCTCTATAAGTGAATATATCAGTCTTACCTTTTGGATCATTATGAGTCAATAGCTGTATGTCAAACTGTTTAGCAAATGCAGTCAAATCGGGTGGCATCACACAGCAGGAGGCAAGATTAACTTGGTTACTATTTGGTTTTACCTAGAAGTGAAAATAAAATCATGACATCTCCACTAAATTAAGTAATACAAAAAGTAGAAAGCAATAAAAGGACTCAATTTTAGAACATATGAAATATCACATTCTACAGTGCTTAAAGCTTATAAAATAGTTTTACATGAATATATTTATTAATATATGCTTTTCTAACTCATGTTAGTGGTAACAAGGAAAGGAAAAATCACTCTAGGAGGGGGAAAAAGCCAATCTAGTACCACATTATTAAAAAGTCTCCTGCTAGAACCTGCAATCTAAAACTAGATTGCTAGAACCTGCAAACATGATTGTCAGTGTGATGGTTCCAGCTAGGGAGAGAATATGTCTTAAGGTACAGGATCAATACAAATGATAAGTACATTTAATGTCAAAGTATAAAATATGGTTATTAATCAGACACATTTTGAAAAAGAGAAGAATTAGGTAATTTCTAATAGCTGCCCTGGTTAATTTATAGGTACATTCCAGATCACCCAAGTCATTCCAGCAGGATTGTAGCCATATTCTGGCTATCACCAAGTCAAAGGGAGAAGGGACAACACTTTCTCTAGGGTCTTTCTGTCCATAAAAAACTGAAACCTCTGAAAAGCAGAAGGCTGGGGATGAACTAAAAGGAATGAATAAAAATACAGAGAGTAAAGGTAAAATACTAGTAAGCAACTTCCCTAATAATTTTGTAGGTTATTAGGCCAGAGAGTGGGGGGCGACTCATTTAGAACACCTACTCCATATTAAATTGTATGAACTAAGAGTCTTGTACATCCTTAAATAACTGTCACCAAAATACTTGTTATATATGATATTCCTTTACTTAGGAAATTAGAACTATGGCCTAATAACCTAAAGAAAAATCAATGTTTTTTATCACATAAGTAAAACTGAAGGAAACAGCCTGAATTCATTTAGCTATGACTGCTTCAATACACATTTTCTAGTGTTTTTGTCACTCATTTTAAATGAGATTAAGTTCGGGGCCGGCCCCGTGGCTTAGCGGTTAAATGCGCGTGCTCCGCTACCGGCGGCCCGGATTCGGATCCCAGCGTGCACCGACGCACCGCTTCTCCGGCCATGCTGAGGCCACGTCCCACATACAGCAACTAGAAGGATGTGCAACTGTGATATACAACTATCTACTGGGCTTTGGGGAAAAAAAGGAGGAGGATTGGCAATAGATGTTAGCTCAGAGCCGGTCTTCCTCAGCAAAAAGAGGAGGATTAGCAATGGATGTTAGCTCAGGGCTGATCTTTCTCACAAAAAAAAAAAAAAAAAAGAGAGATTAAGTTCAATTACACATATATTTGGGGGGAAAAAGATCCAGTGCTTTAGATTAAGCTGGCCTCAAAACTCCCACATTTGGAAGAGTCACCCACAGTGAGTGTCCACTGTGTGCATGATGCTCAACAGTGTGCAGCAAAGACTAACAGGTTCCTCCCGGAGACCTCGTGATCTAGCCATCCTTTACCTGTGCCCACTGATACAGCTGTTCCAACTGTGTTTTGTCTAGATCAGAGGTACCTATAGCAACAATCTTTTTGCTCTGAACTAAGTTTTCTAATTCTTCCCAGTAAGGCTGCAAATGCTCCAAGGAAAGATTAACTCCATCTTCAATAGGAGGTGAAGCAATGATCACAGAATCCAGCTGCGCAACTCCAAGGACCGAACAGGCTGATGTGCAGGAAAACACAAAGAGGATAAACGTTTGTTATATGATAAAGACAAATATTTCTACTTCAAGGATCCCACTGAATTCTGTCCATACCGTTCACAAGTTTTCTATATAACAGATTTCACTCAGTTTCATAATTTATCTGTCATTTAGAACATTTCCATGTTTTAAAAAAGCATAAGTACCCATTCATCTACTTGCTTTGTGTGGCAGACAAATGACTCCTGCCTCCTTGCTGGGGAACTCACAGCTGCTACATGCTCTTCCTCCTTGTTTCCTAGGCCCCAGGAGTTTTTGATAGCTTCCTTATCTTCAGAAAATTTTCTTCTCCAGTTCTACTAGTATCTTATATGGATGATCGTTAAGAATTCTGACCTAATATTCTGTAATTGGTAGTCACAGCAACGAATAAGCTTGAGACTTTGAAAAACTGAATTTATGGTCTTAATCTGTATTTGTAGAGGTAGATAATTTCTTAGTTTCTATAAAAATAATTTAAGGTTTATTTTTAATGATTCGAGTTCACTCCACAGTTATATTAAAGAGCTAATTACTTAAGTGTTCAACATATATAAATACTGGAAGAATATTTTAAAAGAAAAAGTACTGAATAACTGTAATACCACAATAACCTAACCAAGTGCTGAAAATAGATAAAAATGCTTGTTTTTTGTTGTTGTTTTGGTACTTCATCTGTAGTACTAAGAGGGTTTAGAATATGATTAAGAAGAATTTCTATCTCCAAACATATAGTTAACATTTCATTATGTTACATCTTTTACACTCCTCTTACATATCAAAATATGACCTTACATAAGTCAATACGATTCTACAGAACCCTGAAGAGATTAGGCTAGAACTTTAAAAGGTAAAATTGGAATGAGCTCGTTTTCTTTTTTACCTGGACCTGAACACAAGATATAACTAATACACCCACACTAAGTTAAAGTCCACTATGAAGATAAAAAGTTACAGTTTTGCTTACCCATGTCAACTGCATTTCTAGTTGATGATGAAGAGTTTGATCCTACAATGAACAATTTTGCTGGGTAACAGAGAAAAAAAAACTAATTACCACATCTGGGTAACATTCTACTATATAGTATTAACACTGCTAACAATACTAAGATGACAGATAATCCTGAATGAATTATTTTTCCTTTCCTAGTAACATTATTTTATATTTTTCATTTTAAGACATTAAAGTATATGTCTATTCTATTTTTTAAATTATATGCTAGTTCCCAACAAATATCTGTTTGTCAAAACAAAAAAGCAAATATTAATTTCCCATTTATTAGAAGGTAGGTCAGATAAATACAGAAACTTTAATTCATAAAAATATACATTTTGAGTAATTTAACATTAATGGAGCATATTGAGTAATTTAACATTAATGGAGCATATTGTATACTTTCTCCAATAAACTAAAATCTAGATAAAGACCAAATTAAAATTACTTGTAATGAAGATAAAATTGGAAAAAAAACCCTAACAATCCCACCTTCCTAATATAATCATTTCATTTTTAGACATTAGCTTCTAGTTCTTGATCATATGAAGCAGAATATAACAATTTTTCTACTTCTATTTGGTTTACCTTTATATAATAAATATATTTTTTTACATCTCTATACAGTATTTAGTTACCTTAAAAACTTTTTTATCATAATAGTAACGTATTCATTCTAGAAATGAAGAAAACCTTCAAGAGTAGAAAGACTAAAAACAATTGCCAATAGTCTCATCACTGAAAGCAATTACTGTTTAGATTTTTTTGTACTCTGTATTTTTAATGAGTAATTTTACATACGCATTTTTAACAGTTGAACACTGTTCGGTAATTTTGATAGGGTATAATTTACTAAATGAGTTCCTGCTTTTTGAACATTTAGGTTAGTTTTTTTGTTATCACATATAATGCTGAAATAAATATCTTGGTAACTTTTTGTTCAACTTTATGCTGAAGCATTTCCCAAGTACAGATTGTCAGAGATGTGATTATGAGTCAAAGGATATGATCTTTTTTGTGAGTCTTGTTCTATTTTATTTACCTACTACATTAAAAGATTTGTACCAGTTCACCAGACCACTAAAAGTTAGGAGTTGCTCTCCTAACAATATAGGATGCTATTAAAAAAAATATATGTTTTTGTTAATTTAGTAGGTACAATATATACCTGCCCAGGACCACGTTAATTGGCATTTCTTTGGTTACCAGGAAAGCCGAGTAGTTTTCTATATTTCTAAGATTGAGGCTTTGGCTTGATTTCAACTCAACTTTATATGTATATATTTACTTTATGTAAACTCACTGTTCAAAAATCTAAATTTACTCAATAGACAAATAGGTGGCGTAGTAGGAGAGCAAGAAAAGAGAAAATCAGAAAGGGGAATGGAGAGAAACAGGGCTAATGAAATATCCTTATGTAAAGTGCCTGGTGTTCAACATATACAAGTTTTCCTTGTACAACATTTCTTATATTTGTCCTTTCCTTTCTACTACTAGGTAATCTTCCTAAAACATTGCTTTCCTCATGTTACTTCTCTGTCTTCACCACTCTGGTCCAACCTCACCTTCCATAATTGTACTCTATGAAAACCCTCCCCAGCACTCTCCCTCTGCCGTGAATTCATGCCACTTGAAATGCTCTCCTTTCTGAAAGATGAGGCATTTTTAGATAGGTCAAAAGAGGAAAGCTCTTCATCTGGGGGGAATTTTGATGCTTATCCAAAATCTCAAGCTGTCCAGGAACTGAGGACAACTTGTAAGAGCTCCAAGATGGACCAACACCATGAAGAACTGTAGTCAACCACTGAGGAAGTGTTGCTTTTACTTCCTTTCCAACACAAATAGCAATGAGAAATTAACAGAAAGAAATGGATTTTGGAGTCAGGCACACCTAGATGGATTCATGGTTCAACCACATCCTGGCTGTATGACAACTTTCAAGTTATCTAATGTCACTTGTGCAATGGGGATAAGAAATCTTACAGAACTGTTTTGGGAATTATATGAAGAAATATAACTATAAAGTGCCAAGTACAGAGTCTGTACAAAGCAAGACTCAACAAATGGTAGTTATTATTAGCAGAGTCAAAAGACAGTACCCTATCTCATCTTACATGTTCACCCCAATAACAATAAAATAACAACCACAACAAAACCACAGATAGTAATAAGTAGTAGTTACCTAGCACTTACTTTGTGCCAAGCACCGTGCTAAGTGCTTCTTTTACTTCATCTAACTTACAAAGAAGCCTGTGAAACAGGTTCAGCCCCATTTTATAGATGAGGAAACAGCTCAGAGAGGTTAAATAGCTTGTTAGCTCAAGATTATACCAGTCAGTAATCTGCACACCCGAGAATTTCAATCTAGTTAAGCTCCAGCTTCTGATGACTATGCTATGCTGACTGTAAGACGAGGGCAAGAACAGCTCATCTTTTCATTCCTTGAGCTTAGCACAGTCTCTGGAAAGTAGGAGCCACTCAGTACGTTTGTTGATGGGTATAATATGTATTTTATTTCTCTTCCTGCAACTTGTTGCCCAGACTTCTTTCTACACTCCCAGGTGACCTCAGCCGTTGCTTAGCAGTGGCAACACCAGGAAGGGAGGGCTCACGCTTGCTTTGGGTAGACATTGCTCTTAATTCTTTCCATTTCCTCCACCTTAATCTTCCTACTGCTCTGAAGTCTGACACATAAATTAATGAGAATATCATGAAGAAAAGCAAGGTGAAGTTCTATTCTGACTCCACTGAGGTAGCCAACACTGACCTCCTATAACTCCCTCTTAGAGTTAACATTTAAATAATGTTAAAAAAGAATTTTTGTATTTCCTGTACTTAATGACTGAGTCACTCATTACCAGAAGCAAAAAAAGGCTATTCTCATACCTGACAAAACCTCACTATCACTTCCACTGTATAACAAATGAATTGTAAACGCTGGACTTTACCAGAAACTTTCATTTCTTCTCTTTCATCGGGATTTATCTTTTCTACTGCATGAGACACACTACATTCCAAGACGTCTGGAAACTCCTATAATAAACATATGATATTTACAATAAATATGAAATTAACATTTCTGATTATATGTTTAATATATATATATAATGTATATTCTGGTATATATTTCCTATTGTCCATAATCCCCTTTACAAGTAGAGAACCCATAAGACAACAGGGTTCTCTACCTGAGGTCTGCATGGGCTTCATAAGGTTTGTAAAGCCCTGAAATAAAAGTAAAATGCGGTGTGTGTGTGTGTACAGATTTTCGGAAAAAATATCTCATTTTGATCAGATACTCAGAGAGATGCATGATCAAAAACAAACAAAAGGGCCAGCCCAGTGGCGCAGCGGTTAACTGCCAGCACTCCACTTCGGTGGCCCGGGGTTCGCAAGTTTGGATCCTGGGTGCGCACCGAGGCACCGCTTATCAAGTCATGCTGTGGCGGCGTCCCATATAAAGTAGAGGAAGGTGGGCACAGATGTTAGCCCAGGGCCAATCGTCCTCAACAAAAAGAGGAGGGTTGGCATTGGATGTTAGCTCAGGGCTAATATTCCACACACACACACACACACACACACACACACACACACACACACAAATAAATAAATAAATAAATAAATAAATAAATAAATAAATAAATGGAGTGGTATGTGAGGAGTTAGAACCGCCAGCACAGTAAATAATTTTACTAAGAAAAGAAACCAATGAAAAATAATAAATATTATCTATCCTGGATAATGACATGTTAAAAACTTTCTACATTAAACATTTTAAGACAAAAATGTTTTTTTTTCTGAGTGCAATAAAAAAAAAGTAAAGGCTGTTCCAATTCATTATAATGAATGATGTATAAGGAAAATGATAAAATGTTAGTACATATAATAAATCAGAACCACATTAACTCACATTTACATGATTAAAACAAAGTAAACAGCGAGGCCTTTCCCATGGCTCTTGAGCACATTAAATGCCGGACACATATCAGGGCTCAGGAAGTGTTTACAAGTCATACATAGAGTGAACGGTCATTTCAGAGAGATGGACACCGATCGAAGACATTAATCAATGCCTCCCTAGCAGCTATAGAGTTATAAACCTGCAGTATGCTCAGGGGAACAAGTATTTCCAGCACACATCCTCTTCCATACTTTTAAAGTAGTCTATGTAATTTGTTATGAGCCTTTGGCTGACTTGGATTCCAAAGAGTGGTTTACAGACAGTGTTTTGTATATTAACATTTATGGTAATAGCCACATACCGACATTTAATGAAACACAGCTCCTTACTGTTTCATCAGAAACTGACATTTAAAAAATTACTTCTAGTGATGATGTTATTTGGGCAATAGTCTGCCAAAGCTATCTACCAACCAAAACTGTTTGATAGTCATTCCTCTACTAGGCCAAATATAAACTGGAACAAAACACCTTGTGAGGAAACTATGGCAGGGCTTGAGCACAGAGAATCCTAGCATCTTGTCTAGTTGAGAGTTGGCTACAGAGTCGGATTTTCTGTTTTATGCTTAGGCCTACTGGGTCAGACTGCCATTTCAGCAAATCAGCCACAGGGAGTTTATTATTTGCCTATTTGACTTCCCTGTCAAAACTGAGGACATTAATTTCCTGCTTATTTCACTTCCCTTTGACCTACATGATTTCTTTATTCACATTTTACTCACCCTGACCAAATCCGGGCTGATTTGGGAACTCCACTCATTTAAGGTCTTTTGGATACAATCTCGAAGCTGCAAAACGAATGCATTTTGAAACTGTTACTCAAACTCTATATACTTTTCTGTAGTACTTCTACAATAAGAATGTGTTAGTTTGATAAGTAGGAAAAAGAAGATAGCAACAGGAAATACCACACAAACCAAAATTTTAACTCTATAAGGTTTTTGTTTCCTTCACAAAGATAAATTTAGACCTGTTTTTGTCCTACTCTTAATTCTCAAATGTTCTTGACCTAAAGCAGTAATCTAATTATTTTAAAAGTGTTTTTTGTACCAATGAAAACTTAAGTAAACTTTTGAGACATAAAAGCATTCATAAAGAAACAAAAAAAATTCTCAAGAATAGGGTTTATAAATGGAGGAACCTGGATTCTGGCACAGGCAGCCTGACTAGAATTAACATTAACCACTATGCTATATTCCTCAAAGATAAACAAATGATTCTCTACGCGTGGCCAGAGCACCGCCTACATCAGATTCACCTGTGGTGTTTATTAAAAATTCAAATTCCTGAGCCTCATCCTAGAGCTGCTGGATCACTCTCTAAGGACAACAGAACTTGCATTTTAACAAGCATCCTAAGTAATCTACATGTACTCTAAAGTCTAAGAACCACCTCAGCCATATCTTGGCAGAAGTCAGCTTGCATAATGTCAGTCCACAAGTCATTTCCTAACACTTAGGTACACCTCCAACCTGTCTTCAATGTTTTCTTATATAAACAAACAAAAAAATTTTTTTACACTAACATTATAATATGTTGTAAATTCATTAAAGTGTTTATTAATCTTTTATCTTTTATGTCAGTGTATTTCAGACTTATTTGATTGTGGTCCAAAGTAAGATTTACACTCACATAGTGAGTGAGGACCTACATACCTGTAATGGAACAAAAATTCACAAAACAATATTATACTCACTACATGCCAGGCACTCTGAAGGCCTCTATTCTATTAATTAGAAAAAATATGCTGCTGCATGACTCACTAAACTGATTTATGACCACTAATAGGCCAACACCAGCAGTGTGAAAACACTGCCTCATAAATATCCAAGGGCACAGTGCTTTGCATTGCAGGCAATCAATGAAAAAATAAATGCGTAACTAGACGCAACTCCCTGAATTGCAAAAGCACTTTCCTAATAGCAACAACAGAAACTAAATTTCTGAACTCACTATCTGATCTATGATTGCTTATGATAAAGACTGATACAAGCACTTTACTGCTTACGTCTTACTACAGATAATTACAAGGGACAACTGGTTTATCAATTTAAGAGCTCAGAGTGACCTATGTTAAAATTTACAATCCACAACAATAATTTATGTGCTATACACAATAACCACATGAATTCAATTTACAAGGTCTATATCTTTATGGAAAGTATATTTATAATCAAATTTAAGTCAGTAGATAAAAATTAGCTGATAACCATTCAAGACAGAGTCACAAAACAATATTCTTTTTTGTGTGTGTGTGAGGAAGATGAGCCCTGGGCTAACATCCGTGCCCATCTTCCTCCACTTTATACGGGATGCCACCAAAGCATGCTTGACAAGCAGTGCGTTGGTGCGCACCCTGGATCCAAACCCCGGGCTGCCGCAGCGGAGCGTGCGCACTTAACCGCTACGCCACAGGGCCGGCCCCACAAAACAATATTCTTTTAAAAATTAGTAAAAGTTGAAGCTGCAGGACCAACTAGAAATTAACAACTCTATCAGAAGTGCTTTGGTTCAAATCATGGGAGAATGTTTAGAAAACTTCCTCTGGAAAGGTGGCTCATTTGCATACTTGAGGCTTTCCTAATGAATTCCTCAATTCAGGAAGATAAGCATATTTTCAGAGGATTCACTCCTTTCTTGAGACACAATTTAATTAATCTTGGATTCTGCAAAATGTCAGGACAAATCATAGAACAGTCCAATGTTTCAATAACATGAGAAATTCATTGATTCTATCACAAACCTAGTGATTCTTAATCTTTTATACATGACCTATATCGACTGAACATTAACCTTGTACTTTTTTGTTCTCTGTTCTCCTCATTCTTATCACATATACACTTTATCACTGAAGATAAGTATCATCATCATTTAGTGTAGCATTAGATCTGGAGTTGTGTAAGAGTACCACGTGATTCAACTGGTCAAATACCCTTACAACAAAGAACTGGGCAAAACAGTCCTATAATGTCCCATTTAAAAACAAGATTTGATTTCATAAAATTCTAGTGAAACAAAAAATCTGGGCAGAGATCATAGAATTAGAGGAAAAAAACATTACAACTAGAAGAGACCTTTTAGGAAATTTAATTGAACTCTCTACTCAATGTGTAAATTTTCTCAAAAATGAGTAGTTTATTCAGTTTCTTTATTCAACCAGGTTAAACTGTTTCAAGTAACATATCCCTAATTTGGAGCTCTGGTTGTTACAATGTTCTTCTTTACAAAGAAACAAAACATGCCTCTCCTGGGGCCCGCCTGGTGGCATAATGGTTAAGTGCGCACCCAATGAATCGGCAGCCCGCGGTTTGCAGGCCCAGATCCCACGTGCGGACCTTACACACCCTTTATCAAGTCATGCTGTGGTGGTGTCCCATATAAAGTAGAGGAAGATGGGCACAGATGTTAGCCCAGGGCCAATCTTTTTCAGCAAAAAAGAGGAGGAGCGGCAACAGATGTTAGGGGCTAATCTTCCTCAAAAAAAAAAAAAAAAAAGAAATGCCTCTCCCATTCTACCTAAGCTGTCATGTTTTCTCTACAATACGCTGCCATATCTTCAAGTTTTCCTGAAATGTTTTCTAGTTTTAGTTTTGTCCCTCATATGCAGCACCCAAAGTAAAACATGCAAACTAGAATCCTTTGAATAATGTTTTTCAAATGTGGGGTGTGACTCACTGCATTAAGAAATCAAATTTTTTTTGTTGTTGTTGTTAGGAGATCAGCCCTGTGCTACCATCCGCCAATCCTCCTCTTTTTTTGCCGAGGAAGACGGCCCTGGGCTAACATCCGTGCCCATCTTCCTCCCTGGGCTAACATCCGTGCCCATCCTCCTCCACTTTATATGGGACACCGCCACAGCATGGCTTGCCAAAGCAGTGCGTCGGGGCGCGCCCGGGATCCGAACCAGCGAACCCCGGGCCGCCGCAGCGGAGCGCGCGCACCCAACAGCTTGCGCCACCGGGCCAGCCCCAAGAAATCAAATTTTTAATACTTAGAATAGAAAAAATCAGAATACACAGTATAAAGTCAAGGTTAATATCTTTTCATGAAACCTGTCTGTGTGGGTGTGTGAACAAACTGTGAACTGGATTGCAAGGTAAAATGCATTTCTTACTGGGTGGGCCATCAAAAGACTTTGAAAAGCACTACTAGAGTGTGTCATAGTGAGATAACAGAAAATTTCACCCAATATTATCAACATACATGCAAAATGCTGTATTGAACCACCAGCCCTGGAGGAAATTAAAGGTCTAGTACTAAACACAGAAATACTTAACTTTGGGAGAAACAGTCCAAGTGGGGGTGGTTTAAACAAAACAAGACATACAAACTGAGTTGGAACCTGAACACAGAATATGGTAGGGATTCTGATTTCCTTAAAGCTACGACCAAGAGTTCTCATCTCACAGCGGTGCTCCCTCCCAACACCAGGCCTGGGTACAGGTCCAGTGCATACTCAAAGGGATGCCATGTGCTGCTACACAGCATATCACAGACATCTTCTATAAAAGAGCAGAAACTCCCTAGGAATATACAGCAGGTGACATCATCATATGACATAGTTTAGGAAAGTTTCTCCTTTTAATCAAGATTTATTTTATCTTTCTGACTGAACCAGATGATAAGGGAGATAAATGCCTGTACACTCTTTTCATATATTAAGTATTTTAATCATCACAACCTGATGAAGATATTATCTAACTTTAAATTTACATAAATAGACTCGCAAAAGTAACTTTTCCAAAGTCACAGAGCTCCCAAATTCAGGATTTGTTTTATTATTATTTCTTAATACTAAAATCGTCCCATACCATCAAGATGCCTCAGCGATTAATTGTGCAAAGTGAATGATTGACACACATACACTTGATCACTGAAGATAAGTATCATCATCATTTAGTGCAGCATTAAGGAATGACCAGCTATGTAAGAAATGACCAGCTCAGCAATGACCAGCTATGTAACAAATATGTACCAAGTGGATAATTCCAGATTTATCCCTGCCGCTTCAAACCAGTGATTAGTCTTTAGGGAAATAAACTGAGGCAGATTCATCTTCGGCAAGAAAAATATATACCTTATTCCATAGCTGAACTGGGTTTAGTCATTTGCTTCACAGCAATAAACTACTGTCAACATGCTAACAACTGGGATTATAACTACTACTTCATCTGAATCCTTGAAAAGCTAATCTCTAAATTATTTCTGTACCTGGACACCGTGGGGGGAAGGGAGAGGGACAGGGCGATGTACCGGCCTTCTCTACTCCCTGCCAGAGAGGGGGATCCAAAACGTTCGCGAGTTTGGCCACCAGCCGTGAGCACTGACGGAGGCGTCACTCGGTGTGAGTTGCGCCTGCCAAGGTTTTTCAGACGCGTTGCCCCCAGCAGCAGGGCTGGATGCGACGGCGCGCGGACAGCGGCCCCAGGCTCCTCCCGCGGGCCGAGCCCAGGTGCGCGCCTCTCCCGGCGCCCGAGCCCGACCAGCCGCCCGGCCCGGCCCCGCGGCCTGCCTGGGAGCCCCGCGTCTCCGCGGACGCCGCTCGGCCACCCTCACCTCCTCGCTGTGCGTGGACGGGCACTTCTTCCGCAGGCGGCCCCAGTTCAGCAGGTTCCCGGTCTGCAGGTGCAGGGTGCGGGCCCGCGCCAGGAGCGCCCCGGCCGCGCGGCTGTCGGTGCCCATGGCAGCGGCCGACGGCGGGGGCCCGGCGGGGAAGGAGGCCGCCCCGCAGGACGCGGGGCCCGAGGCTGGAAAACTGAGCGCGAGGCTGCCCGCCCCGCGCTGCGGGACCTCGGCCTGCGCTCGGGCCCGAGGGAGGCCGGGGGCGGCGGAGCGGCGGCCCGGGAAGGACGCGCTGCTGGCTGCGGCTCCCGCGACTGCGGCCGCCGCGGGAGAGCTGACACCCAACTGAGGGAGCCGCTTCCTGGAAGACAATGACTAAGCAGAAATCGCGGCGGAGAAAGTGCTTCGTAACCGTTACTCGTCCCGCGGCGGGGCCGGGCGGGGCGGGGCGGCGAGCGGG